ATATAATAAAGAAAAACCCTTTCAGTATGTAATGTATGAATATAATATACAAGTTTCACTTTTTAAATGGAATTACTGAAATAAATCTACTTTTTCATGATATTCTAATTTTATGACCAGCACCTGTATTTGTAAAAATTTAGTTTAAAAATTATAAAAACTAAACAACCTTCATTGTTTTTACAGTCTTTATTTTACAGTTTAAATAAATGTTTATCAAATAAAGTCTAATGTTACAACTAATCCTGGATCCCTTTAAATAACGCCAGATAGTCGAGAGCTATTCCTACGGTTGTTCCTCCACATCCACCTCTCTTATGGAAAAGACTATGAGCTAAATGCTAACTCAGGGGTGTCAGGCCCTCCTGGAGTGCCACTGTTCTGCATGTTTTAGAGGTTTCTTTGCTACAACGCACCTGATTTGAATGAGTGGATGATTAGCAGGCTTCTGGAGTACTTGACGAAGTAATTCAGTCACTGAATCAGGTGTGTTAACCAGGACACCCCTCGCCCGACTGAAATGGAATAAATAAAACACTAACTTGACATTTTCACAATTACAGCACCTTTCTTTTCACGTATCTATTCACCTATCACTGTGTGATAAAATAGTGTGATAAAATACAGGTCATGTTCATCTTGACTGCTCGCCACACTCAAATGAACACAGCCCTTTTCAGAGGTTATATCAACATTAGCTCACATATCCAAAATCCAAGCTAATCATTAACTTTGGCTTACCGTATAAAACTGCTTTTGACTGTTGTACCCACCTAACATTTCTATTTGTTTTAGCATTCAGTAAATGCCATCTTTGTGTTCAAAACTGTTTTAAATATGACTAAGTGCAGAATCGGTGTGTTCACCATGTCCATTCAGCAGCTTCTTAAACCTTAAACTTATTTTACCTGTATCATGTCTTTGAGCAGGCTACGTTTTTTTTCAGTGATCGTTTAATTTTTTGAATTTTCATTTAACATGTGTGATTTTAGCCCTCGCTCTAATGTCCCATAGCTGTGGTATCTGCTGGTAGCTGTCATGGTTCACAGAGGAGTCAGTCAGAGTTGATGCCTTCACTTACTGTTGGACAAATGATTACCATGAATTGTTAAGATTTGACAAGAACCTGAATCAGTGTTCTCTCTGTTTTGTTTCAAGACTGCCCTTTTTCATATTCCTCTTTAGTTATTTAATATAAAAAACAACAGGGAGTCATAAAATCTTTATTTTTCCATAAAAAAGTTAATTATCACATTGCCTTAGTCCCTGTCCTGTTCCAATCATGTCTACAAGAAGAACATGAAGAGAAAAAAAGGACATTCTTTAACTATCAATTTAAAACCAAACTAGAGAAGCTGCTTTTGCTGCAAAAATTCAATGTGAGTTTTAGATTAATGTTGTATTTTGATGAAGAAGCCAAAAAATTAACTGCCAAAGCAAAAAGATTACAGGATTTTAAAAAAAGCACTTCATAGACCAGGTGGAAATAAGTAAAGTGTTAGTTAAAAGTCACAAAAGGCTAGCTAATTAAAAGCTTAAAGTAGGTAAGGGTACCTTAAAGCTAAAAGGAATGGAACAGTATTTTTAAAAAATTAAATGATTAAATAAGCAAAATGTAGCTAGAAGGCTGACTAAAATGTAAAATGTAGCAAAACACTAAAAGCATCAAAAGGCTAGCTAAATGAAGCAAAAGACTAAAAGAGCAATGAAAGGTTAGCTGAAAGACGAAATAGCAGAACAGCAGCTAAAAGTGAAGAACTTAGAACTTAGTATTTGAATAGTAGCTAAAAGTGGCAAAGGAACAGAACAGTGGCTAAAAACTAAATGTAAAAAGAAAGAAAAAACTACAAAAATAGAGCATTTTAGTGTACTCAAACCTAACCAAACCTGCACTGTAATTCTGTTTATATATATATATATATATATATATATATATATATATAGTTAAGATTAACCTACCTTTTAATAAAGAATTTGTCATTAAAGCTGAAACCTACGGTATAACAGTGTATATAATAATTATAACTTATAACAGTATATTACATATAGTATATATAGGTTACTTGAAACAATAACATCCACTCTTAAAAAAAATGAGTCAATCCAAAGGTTTGTTTTGCTCTTGGCACAGATTTAAGAGGTAAATAAGTTGATGCAAAGGTTTCCGAAGCGTCCTTGAACGCCTCACGGGTTGTTAAGGAGTGGCGGCTGCACCTGTCCGACCTGTTCGGAGGGGGGACACATGACTCCGGAGGAATTTCCCTCTCCCCCTCGTCTAGCTCCTGTCTTTTGTTTAGCGGCTTGTTTCTGAGGGAGACGACAGGGTGAGAGCCAGAGGAAAGAGGAGGAGGAGGAGACAGACGAACAGGAGAAGAAGGAGAGATGTCGGAACCAGCCGCTAATCCCGCCGCTACCTCATACCCAGCGCCTGTTATTTCTTTACCTTTGGGACTGGAGGTGTTGAGGACTTACTCTGGAGCCCTGGTCTGTTTAGAAATAGTAAGTCTTTTTTTATTCTATTTAATTAAAAGGTTATTTCATATTATACAACCTACGAGTAACGTCTTGGTATTTATTGTTTTATTTCTGGACCAACCCGGTTTTTCCTTCCTTGATGTTGGTTACTGGTTAATCGTCGCAGTGATTGATTGGCCTCAGGCTGAACTTTTTGCCCTGTCTGCCTTACTGTACTGAACTTAGATCTACACGTGTTTTTAAACACTACTGATCACAGTCCACAAAATATATATTAGATCCCTTATTGTTAACATTTATGAGACGTTCAGGCAAGTGTTTACACTACAGTTCAGTTTTAGTTGTGCCTGCATATTAATAGTGCCCTACAAGGTGACCTCTGCCCTGCCTTTACATTCAGCCTGTAATCTTCAAATGATGTTACTGTGTTGAAACAGCTGAGGGCCTTTAAAGGCTGTTGGGTGGCAACACTGGCAAATAATGCTGGTTTTTGTCTTTTTTTGGCACTATTCAACGTTTCATGACATTACAACCCCAAAGTTCAAAGATGTTTTTTTACAGGGATATTAAAAGTACAATGATGTGACCGAAAAATGACACTTAAGGGAAATCAAAATGACTGCAAACCTGCAGAGACATGGCCGTCCACTTCATCTGGTGTCCAGTCCTGGTCAGGGTTGCTATCCTGCGTGTATTACTCATTTCTGGGTATTGAATTACCTCTTCAGGTTCTGCAGAAACCTGTTCGTCACCCATTCATTCCAGTCGAGTGTGTTGTTGCAGAAGTTACCTCTAAAACAGTGTTTCCCAAAGTTGGGGTCGGGACCCAAAGTGGGGTCCCAAAACTTCAAGGTGGGGTCCTGAAAATATTTTCTGAATTGATTACATTTTTGCCTTAGTTGTTACAAAGGAGTGAGGTTAGTGTATTTAAAATGGATAAATGTAGTATAAAAAATATTGTTACTATGCCCATGTTTAGTTGACCTGATACAAATGTTTTATCGTACAAAAATATTTGGGGG